ATATTCTCCTCCAAAAGAAGATGTTGCTGTTTTAGATCTTCAATCAACTCTTACTCGAGCCATAACTTCATCACCTGTTTTACTTGTACTTGCTCGTGATATTTGTTTTTCATCTTCTATTCGAGCAACAGGTGTTTTATCATGTGTCGGAGAAATTAAATCAGCATGGATTGAGTATCGTCTAAACAGAAAAATACCATTAAATACAGCTGAAGAAACAAAATTAAATTCTGATAACATTGTAGCAAACGCAAAAAAGGCATTTTCCAATGTTAAAATCCAATTGAATAATCATATACTTAGTCTAGAAGGTTCAGCAGGTTCTGTTCTTGATGCTGAACTGGACATTTTACAACAGTTAGTTGTTGAAATGAAATTTAGTTTATCAAATGAATATGCACCAACTGCAAAAGCTGATTATGAACGTATGCAACGAAATCTTGAGGGTGTTTCAAAAATGCCTTCGATATTTAATCCAATGAAATGGCGTTGGGAAGCCGAACATCAAGTTAAAATAACTGTTAATAATAATAGAACAAATAATGAATGTGAAATAATAATTGAAGGACGAGATTCACAAATTCAATATGTATACAATGAATTTCGATCATTTTTGGGCTGGTTAAGAAATTGTGCTGTTGTTCGACATCCTAATGCAGGTAAGAAAAAAAGATTAGCAGAGTCCCTTTAAGGCTAAAATGTGAAACGCACATGTATTCTTTAGTCTTATTTTACTAATAGAATATGCGATAAGTGAAAAATCTCTAGCAGACTATAGTTTTTTTCCAAGGCTAATCGATAACCAATAAAGCGTCAAGTCTTTGTTTGGTTCTGCCTCTCGAAGAGAAACTTTTTCTATTTTTCACTGATGCTTAATTTTTTGTTTGCTGTGTTGCCATTCGCTCCTTGTCTTTCATTTTCGTACTTCGCTTTGCTTAGTTTAATATTATTGTGACTGTAGCCATCAATTTAGTTGGCAAATAAGTCTGTTGTACATAGCTATTATATCTACGGTAGGGCTCAACGCACGATTATACAGTACGCGCCAATTGATTTTTCTCCCCTTTTTTTGTGGTTTTTATCACGAGGGTTCTTTTATTTTTCAATACCAAATATATAGGAAGAAAGCCCCAAACTCGCTGCATTTTGTGATATAGTAGCATTGATTAAGAAATGCACTTTAAAGTATGAAAAGGGTATCAAAGGAAAAAAGTAAAATTTTGTTTTGTTACCATTTTCATCCACGTTTATTATTCATATCACAACAAAAGAAGAGTAATTGTTGTTGAAATAACTTTTTGACGAAAACAAAGTAGAGCTCTGAGGTTTTCATCATTCAAAACAAGAGATAAATCTGCATCGAATCTTTTCGTTTACATATTCATCACAATCTTTGCCAGGTGTTCAGCTACGTTTTTCAAAAACTTGACTCTTTTCGCATTTTTTGATAAAAGGCCAATTTTGTTTTTGAAAAATGTCATGTTTTCCAGAAAACGCGACTCAACACTCTGATAAAACTTGTTATGAATATGTGAAAGAAGAGATTCTATGCAGATTTATATGTTCTTTCGAATGATGAAAACCGCAGAGCTCTATCTTGTTTCTGTTACAAGTTATTTCAAAAATACTTACTCTTCTTTTGTTCTGATATGAATAATAAACATAGATGAAACTGGTAACAAAAAAAATTTCAACTGTTTCCTTTTGATATACTTTTCGTACTTCAAACTGCATTTCTTGTTCAACGTTAATATATCACAAAATGCAGCGCGTTTGAAGCTTTCTCCGTATATATAGGAAGGTAAAAAATAAAAGCAGTCTAATGATAAAAAAGAGAAGAGGAAAGTCAATCGGTGCGCACTGTATATCTCGATAAACATTGATATTGATTATTCTCGAAAGTTATAGCATGATCGATTCACATTTTTTCTGTTGATCATATAATGGCTGTGAAAAATAAATATATCATTAGCCATTATTATTGGCATCTTGAATATAAACTTTTATCTGGGTAAACATGCGAACCTGCATTATTTACAACATTTACAAACGTATTTCAGTCATCGAAATTGCGTGGAAGGCTTTTGAATATTCTAGAATAGTCTAAGTCTTTCTGTTCAAACTGTTTAACATCTTTTTATTTTACTAAAAAACTCTGAAAAAGGAGTTTGACGTCTGTTGTCTTATGTT